GTCATAATCATGTCTTGTGATTATTTGACAGGAGTTTTACTTTTAAACTGTAAGTGTATTTAATTTAGTTATGTTAGTTATAAATAGTTTAGTTATGATGTAAACACAATAAAAATTAAACCAAGATTTAGAATAATTATCATTTTGATCCRTACATTGGTAATGTCTGAYTGGRCCTCGTGGCTCTTTATGTTCAAYAAAYTGGGCCCCGATGTCAACAAGGTTAAGAACCCCTGATCTATGACATTMGGTTTTATTCAATAAAAATACTTCTTCTTATTGTTTGGACTCACAATACACTTATCAAAGTTCCTTTTCACGTTGACCAGCACATTTCCCAGAGTGGTGCTGAGGAAAGAAGTCGGGTCGACGTTTTCAGCTGTCCACACATGATGACTCATCTTCACCAGCATGTACAGAGAGTGGAAGCTGTCGATCTTGTCACCTAAAGCAATCAGGCTGTTGAGCTCTGGCTCGATGCTCTGGAAGATTTTATTCATTAGTCGCACCATGCCTTTTCTTCAGTCAMAAAAAACAAAAAAATAACAACGTTAGTAAAACATTTAGTTGAGTTGTGATGTGTAAGTAGGCAACATTTACACTCRATAGGTTAATAAGTATTAAAGTACTCACTCTAAAGACAAGGAGTGTCTGTGATCTGCCTGGGTAAGGGTTCTTGATGGTGCGTTTCCATCAAACTCCTCTGTTTCCGGCTGACAGGACAGGTAAACATAAAAACATGACAGGTCCTATTAAAAACCTGACATGAACGATGCTGTACTGAAAACAGGACAGCGTGTTCTATTCCATATATCTAGGGAATATGAATCATCTAAAGACATCAACACAGCCACATAGTTCATTTAGATGTTGCAGCAATTCAAACAGATGTACCTGTGCAAGAGGGGGCAGAACAGTTTGGTGCTGCTGCAGCTTAAAAAACTTGCTGATGAAGTCTTGTTCTGCCAGACACAGAGGCTCCAGCTCACTGAGGACCTGTTCAAATATCTGCAGACACAAAACAAAACCACTCTCTTCAGGTTAAAGCTGTAAACAATAACACAGTAGAGTTATAACAGCACACCCTCTTTAYTTATAGACTTATAGAACAACCTTTAGCAGTTATAACGTAGTGTCAACATCTTCTGTGCGATCTTGTTAGTTTGTCACCCTGTTGTGGCGAAACTGGACTTTAATAAATGAACAKGTCTGAAGTCTGACATGCAGCTTTACCTTTGTTGTTTTCCTCTGAACACTGCATAGTTCAACCCTGAGGGAATTTATCTGTGAAATTTGTTTCAGTAAAGACTGGCAGCTGGAGGATGATTGTTCTGTGTAGAATTATAGACTCTGAACACTGTGGACACTGTCTGTTATCTCTTCCAACACTGATGGGCAGCAACAGTTATTTTTATAAGATAATTGCTGATGTCTCTCTACACTGACATTTATGCTAACACACCAAYGCTGCAGAGCAGCAAAGTGCAAAAATTGTCTGCTTTACAGAGGTGGTCCCGCATGTTTAACTTCTCAAATTCACAAGAAGCAGCAGAATTTACTTAGTATTTTATACACTAATGAATGGATGGATGGATGGATGATGGGTGGACGGATGAACAGATAGATGGATGGATGGATGGATGGATGGATGGATGGATGGATGGATGGATGGATGGATTGATGGATGGATGATGGATGGATGGATGAATGGATGGAAGGATAGATGGAAGGATGGATGGATGGACGATTAATGGATGGATGGATGGATGGATGGATGGACGGATGGATGGATGGATGGATAGATGGATAGATGGATGGATGGATGGATGATTAATGGATGGATGGATGGATGGACGATTAACGGATGGATGGATGGATGG